AGAGAGAGAGAGAGAGAGAGAGAGAGAGAGAGAGAGAGAGAGAGAGAGAGACGAAAACCTTCTCGGTCTGGCGCCTTTTCATTCATCAAAAGGTGGCGAACAAGATATTTTGCGCGCACACGGCCGACACCGTAGCATCTCCAAAACAAAATACCCATGCATGCACATTGACGGTTGGCACCTGAGCCGTGTAATAACATCACACGCTGTGGCGGCAGCGTTAACCCCACTCGTTCAAAGCCAACACCGAAACTACCCCGGAGTAGCCATTTAGGCCAGGGACGAGCCAGAACGGAATCACTCCAGACAGGCCAACACCCGTTCGACAATCACTCACCCCTCGCTTTGCTCTTCTCTCTTGTCTTGCGCCGGTACCGGGCGTAGCAGCAGCACCAGCACACGCCTTAGACGGGACGAAAAAGGCGAGAGCAGCAGCAGCAACATGAGCGACTGCAACAGGTGAGCGCAACGACAACAACACTATCGCCGGCAACAACCTAAGTACCAGCAACGTCCACTGCACAGCGCCCACACCACCGCCAAGAGCAGCGGCGACGACGGCAGCACATACACGGCCAAGTGAGAAACATGAGCTGCTGAAAGGTTACCGGGCGAACGGCGGGGGTCGTTGATGTAGGTGTGCGATCGATGTTTGAAAGATCGATCGATTGGTCCACGATCAGAGAGAGTGTCATGGAGCGAAGCCCGACCGACGACACGCGCAAGGAAATACAGCTCTAGCTGGCTCTCAACGACAAGATCTTTCCAGAAACATCCATGATCGTTTTCGGCATCGGAAGCATCTTGGTTCGGTTGTTCAGCCACAATGAATGACAAACCAACCCCCATTCCCTCAGTTTGTCCGTCACTGCACAGAGGCTTTTTTGAAAGCAGACCGGCTACGAAACACGTGCAGAAAGGAGGTCTCCAGAAGGCAAACCAGCTACTGCTGTAGACGATCGTTTCACCACAAGGAAAAGAGGACACCACCCATCAATTGATCAATCTCACCCAGCACGAAGAGACCCACGACCGCCCCCAGCCCCAGCGCGAGGGCCCAATGCCCGTCGCCGCCGCCGCCGCCCCCGCCCGAAGATGACACCGGAGCCTGGTCTGTCGCGTCGATTGCTGCCGCCGCATCGGGTGTAGGCGCTGGTGTTGCCAAAGCAGCCTCCATGATCGTGCCTTACGTAGCGTGTGATTGGAAGCAAAGCATGTCGTCGGCGAAAGCGGGGAGCGGAAACACGCGCGTGGTGTCTACCTGGTTGTACTGCGGATATCCCCCATGCGAAAGACAGGGAAGCAGATTTCGACGAGCGAGCTTGCTTGCGAAGCCCGGAATGGTAGCGTGTTTCCCCGAATTATTCCAAAAATGAAAGTGTACAATACCCGAGCCCTTCCGAACAGAAGTATTCTTCTAGGATGAGGGGTTCTGGACCGAACGATAGCACGGAACGGGATCTATATCATCCTATCCTGCTGTGCATCTTGCGGACAACACCAGACGTAAGGCATAGCCAGCAGCATGAAGTCTTCGGTTTGCAACCGCAGTCCGTCTATCAAGCTCCCCTTTCTTGAAAGCCTTCGACCCCTCGGTTGAAGTTGTTGTTTTCTTTTTTCCGTCACTTGTTCTTCCAGAAACAAGACGAGCGCACTTACTCAAAGGTTGCACGAATTTCAACCCACATCGATGGGCGCTGACGATGTTACACTTTTTTTCTTGTGGCTAAATCAAGCGCTCGGCGGGTATGTGTGTTTTTTGTTGTTGTTTTGTTTTCTCCCATCATTGGACTCTGTCGTCTGCCCCTCTGGCCCCTATCCTCCACTTCTACCAGCTAGACGACCCAACCGGGGTCACCGGTGTGTGTATGCTCATGGATAGTTTGAAGGGAAAATACAAACATTAACAGTTGGGCCGTGGGATACGTATATTTGAAATGGATGTCAACACCTTTGGGGGCAGGAGAGGCGCGTGGGTATTGCGTGAATTTCAATGATTACATAGGACTTACATGGTCGTTGATTTTTTAGGAATGACGCGAGGTCAAGTAATAGAGTCTGCTTCCATCCGCCCATATATTTTCCGTCTTTTTTTTTTTAATATCACACAACAAATCCATCTATATCTAGTCTATAGAAATAAGTCTAGACAAAGATAGATTAGCAACGAATCCATAGCGTAAGCGAAAAGCTACCTGTATGTCTACGGTTTCCCAGAGAGCATACAACGACATCTCCCCTGTGGGTAACAGGCTCAACAAAGGCAGTTTGGTAGCCATCTTGTTTTTTTTGTTTGTTTTTCTCCCATCATTGGACTCTGTCGTCTGCCCCTCTGGCCCCTATCCTCCACTTCTAC